TAGTTATAGTAAAAAAAAAACGGATATGAATTTTCTTGTAATGATGAGATATATTGTTTTTTTTATTGAGAATGACAACCGTACATATACTCAAATTGAATATACGTATATATGGTTCAAGTATGATGAATAAAAATCAGAACAATAATAATAATAATAATAATAATAATAAATAAAAAGACCATCTCATACGCTTGAGTCTGTTTTAACGTAAAACTTGAGACAATGAGAAGACTAAAATCGCTTGGGAAATTTTTTGTTTGTAAAATTTTAATCCATTAAGAAATAGTTTTCTATAGATAGTAGTAGAATAAAATGATTGGCATCAATTAATGAAAATATTTGTTTATCAAACTCTTATTTGAAGTGATTGTTATTTAATTTTTTTTTCTTCCTATAAATAAAACACTTGTCAAAAAAGGAAAGAAAATTGGACATGAAAAAAAACGTGATACTACAAAGTGAATATAAACGAGAAGGAAACAATAGATATATGATGATTCTTTAATAAACAAAAATATTTTACAACGACATCTTCTCATTTCCCCTTTTTTTCTATTCACTAAAAATAAACATGATCGACAGAAAGACTTGATAATAAATAAATGCAAATGATTGTCATATAGTTCGTTAATCATTACCAGATGTTTTTCTAATCATTGATAATCAACTCGTTTGTTCCAATCGTATACCGTTGCGAATTGTATGCTTTTGTGAATATTAACCTTTTGTTTGATAACATAACTTTTTATAGTTTTTGTTCTGATCTTCCTAATTAAAGCAGTTTAAACAGCAAGAGAGAGTGAAATGAAAGGGCGAATATGTAAGAAAAGCATTATAATAAAAAAGTGTAAAAAGAAAAGAATGTTGAATTAATCAAATACATTTATCAATCTTCAAATATCACCATTTTAAAGATATAACCATAGGTTTTTAGAGTAAAAATGATTTTTCAACTTGTCCTTTATCATTATTAAAATGATTTTTATCATTAATTTATAATAAACCTTTCTACTATTTTTATTCAATATATATTGTCACTCTTTGTAGTTCTAATTGCTGATAGATAATATTACTCCTCGTATCAAGATGTTATATCGATTAGTCTCTTTCTTTTTTTCCTAATCTAATTGTTCATATGCATAATATTATCCAGATGAACAATAAATATCAATGTAAAGAAATTTAAAAATATACATGTATTTCTATCATATGTATTTCTCTCTGCACTTCTTGTATCGTACTTTTTTTTCTCTTTCGCTCTCTCTCTCTTTGACAAGGATTTGACAATCAACGATATTATTGTAAGTGGAAAATTATTTCTTATATCATTTTTCTCTGTTTTTAATGATATCACTCTATGTAGATAATTTGTTTCTTTGCGTAAAGAAATCATTCTTATACGACAATGAAGTAAGTCACACATATCAATACCTGCATCTCTCGAGATCAACACTTTCGAAATCTGTGATCATTAATTCCAATTCACTATTGCGTGCTGATAAAAAAAAAAAGAAGAAGCAATACGTAGTCTTTAGTGTAGTATTGGCAATGGCATCAACATATATATATATATATTTGTCTCCTTTTTTGCTCTATCTTCCTGTTCTCTGGTTTAATACAACTATAGTTCTTAAGAGTTCGAAAACGCGATTATCTTTTTCACATTATCAGTGTCGTCGAGAGTTTTTCGTCTTTTTTTTTATTTTTTTTATGCTGTAGTTATATGTCACAGTGATAGAAGACAATAATTTTGTATACTACATATAACAGAATAAAAGTATGACTTCAGGGCATATATTCGTAGTATATGTGAGGTAAGGAAAAAGAAGTCAATTATAACAACCATAGTTTAAGGCTATAAACATTATAAACGCATCTGCCAATACTCTTTTAATCGCTTATGATTTTAAATCAGATAGATTTTGTAATATATTACATATAAAGGTTTAATAACAATATAATCATGTCAAAAGCTGATAGATTGAAAATAGTCGACAGAGATTTTAAATGAGAACGTCAGTTGCGTTGAATTGACTTGTTTATGCATTTTCTTTATTTATCTATTGATAATACCTAAATCTTCACTCCGTCATTAAATTAATTTGTTGGCAACGACCAAAATTGATTAGAGTATGATACTCGAGTCATCGTACTACACAATAATCTACGTTTCTTCTGTTAAATTTCTTTCGTAATTCAAATATCATATTTTATTTCAGAAACCTATTCACCACAATTAATTGTCAAAACATTACCTGACAAACCAGAAATATTCAAACCATATAGATTACAGTGTAATACAAGAGGCAATCCCCTACCAAAATTAGTGTGGAGTAAAAATACTCGACAATTTCGTTCATCGAAAGCATGTAGTTCAAAAAAATGTCATATATTTTCTATTCAAAAGAGGTTGAAATTAATTTATTTAAATTTTTTCTAATTTAAACTAACATTTATTCTTCTTTGTTCTTTTTTATCATTAGATACAAATCATTTCTTTATTTTCGAAAACTTTCAATTAAAGATGCCGGTGTATACACTTGTCGTGAGTAATTAATTAATTTATTATATCGTAAAAGTTAGAATAATTTGTGTTATTTTTTTTATTTTAAGATGCTAAAAATTCAATGAATAAAACACAAGCATCAATAACATTAGCCTTTGATCCCGTCCATAAAAATCCGTTAGAACATTATTCAAAAAGTAAGATGATTGGTGTATGTACGGTATCATTTTTTTTGAAATTGTTTCATATCTTTTTAGGAAAAAATTCCACATGTGATTTTCTTGATCGATGTTATGATCGTGGCCAATGTATTATTCTAGAGAAAAAACTTCAATGTTTGTACGTATATGTAAAAAAAAAACGAAAAAAAAGATGAAATTTCGAATAATAAAATTGAATATGTTGTTTATAGATGTGAAAAAAATTTTTTTGGCGATCGATGTGAGCATAGTTATGATGAAATGGTTAAAAAACACAGTAGTAAGTATAATTCTAATTATAGAATCTAGAGACAAATCTATTTATTCTCTTTCGATTATAGATGAATTACTATTGTTCAAATCGAGATTTATCACTTCAGTTATGCTTGGCATTGTTCTCGTTTTACTCATGACACTTGGTCTTATTTCCTGGCTACTATCACGGTAATTCAAAATGAATCTCTTTTTTTTGTACCATTGTTGTTGTTGTTATGGCTATTATTACTGTTGTTGTATTTAAATTTTTTTTTTCAAGAGCAGGAAAACGACACTTCAAATCTCAGAAGACAGTATCAGATATTGAAACTGTGAAAGATAAAAAAAAAGATGAAGATGTTGTTAAAAATGTAAATCATATCGTCGAACCACCCTCATCAGCACTATTGAAAAACAGTACCTCCATAGATAACAAATTAACAGCAAACATTCAAGTAAATGAAAATTCATTTGACTTCTATATCTATAAAATGAGTGTATTTTTATTTTAGCCAAAAACTATAGCATCAGTTTTGCCAGTTCCCACTGAACCAAATATTGTTCCCGATAGAACAGAAAATAAGACTTTAAAAATCAATGCGTTTGTACCAAATAATGTTAAATCGGTTTTACCATCGTCTTCACAAAAACCCGTTTTACTAAATAAATCATATTTTACAGATACATCAACAAATGATGAGGAAGATGGAGATGATTTTAATGATTATGATCCAGATGCTATTCTAAAACGAGCAAGAACGTTTTCATCACAAAAGGAAACACCAATTGATGAATATGAAGAGCGATTTTCTTTTAAAATGAACAATAGTGAAATACATGGATTAAGTAATGATATAGTATTGGCAGAAGATTATCATTATTGTTTAGACGATAATGGACTAATAAAACCATTAGAATCATCATCATCGCGACGAATGATGATACAACCGCCACCCACACGTTTTACCAAATATGTATCCTCTCGTTTTGTTTTACCGACGCCAGTCAATCGAAATTGACTGTTTCTTTTATTGTATATGGATTGTTGTTGTTTTTCTATAGTAGAAGTAACAAATTAAATAATACTTTGGAATAGAATAAATATGTGGGTGTGAAGTGTCAACATTTAAACGATAACTGAAAACCTTGGCCAATATGATATCAAACAGAAACAAGAGAACTATTTTTTCATTTTTTTTGATTAATATATTAATCTACCTATGATAAACTTCATATTAAGTTCTTCGGATAAACATCTTTCATTATTGAACAGAACAGAATGAGAATTCTTTTTTTAAATGAATAATTCAGTCTATAATAAAATCGACATGCAATAGCATCATACGATTCTCGTTAAATATTCTAAGAATTCAGCTGACATTTTTCTCAACTATCTATAACTTTTCCTACATATAAGTATTATAAGACAATAGATGCATTGAACCAACATTTTTCAATAAAAATCTAAAATCAATTTTTGATGACAATTTGTGAACTGTATGTGAGAAAGAAATTTGTAATATGTCCTGTCTATTAGATTAAACCCCGCATATTGTCTAATCGGTTGTGTTGTAGTGATGTGTAGAATTTTTGTTCAAAAATAAAATATATTATTTCTTTTTTCATTGTGGTTTTCATCTCTGAGCAACAATGTGTGTGTATGTGTGCGTGTCCTCTTCTAGAATTCCAGAAGAGGAAAAAAATGGAAAGAAAATCGTTCAATAGGAATAGTAATAGTAGTGATAGAGACATATTTTTCTTCCTTTTAATTATTTTATGTCATATTCTTTGGTTCAAATAAAGAAGAAGAAAAAAAGAACGAAAAATCGAAAAAAAAAAAAAAAAGAATAAAACAACTCCTTGAGTAGCCTGACAAGGATATACTATAGTCGTGAATAGATTGTTGTCGCACACTATATGTTAGAAATCTTGTTGTTAACAGATATATAGTGATATGGTGGTATCTATGAAACAACGATAAACATAATTTAAGTTAAAAAAATAACCAGCCAAATGGTCAAATTTAGTATTTTCACATGTATATCGTCATCGGTTTAACATATGCCGTATCAAGTTTACATATATTCTTGGCACTAATGAGTTTGGTCGTTGGAATTATTTCAGCAAGTAAAGCGTTAGTGTGGATGGCACACAGTGTTTCACCAATTTGGAGTGGCGTATTTGTAAGTCATTTGTTTTTTAGTTTAACTAATATTAAAATTAACTGTTTCTGTTTTAGTTCGCAATTTGCGGTAGTATTGGAGTTATAAGTGGTAAACAAAAAGGTCTATACTTAGTAAGTCAAGTATTAAAAAGTTTTTGTTTTTCATACTCTTTTACATTAATCAAACTTATTCTTCTAACTTTAGATATTATGTTTTTGTGCAATTAGCATTGTGGCACTTATTGTAGCAAGTGTTAACATTCAACTACTGCGCCTCGGCCTTATTAATGTTACAACAGACGGTCACACGTATCAAAAAGAGGAAAAAGATGTAATTGTTTTAATAGCGTTAACCCTTAGTTGTGTTGAATGTCTTGTATGTCTATTGAGTATATTAATCGGTGTTAAACTTGCCTTCGATGCAAAAAATCAAAAATTTCGTAAAAAAGAAGGAGCATTTTTTGTGCAAATATTAAGTGAAAAAGATATTGTTGTTGTATCCAAAGCACCCAGTTCAAGACATTCAATTGCTTGGAACGGATCTGCTCGTTCTAGTTCATCTTAGCAAAGCTTATATAATAGATTTTATATTGCTTCTAATTTTTTGTCATTATTTTTTTTTTTGCAGTATTTCATGATATTATATATTTTAACTTAAATGTGACATCAACCTTTGACTTAAACTATCTTGTCTAGGTAAAATTTGAGTCATTAGATCTGTTTGAGTAAAGAAAAAAGGTTCGTTACAGATGTACTCAATTATTTTGTTGTCATACATTTTGTTTTTACCTCCTTTTAATTGATTTTTTATTTTTACAAATTTGTGACACATATTAAATTTTTTATTATGAAACAGTAAATATTACCATGATATATAGTTTCTTTAGTTAAGTAAAAGATGTTTGTCTGATTTTTTATTTTATTTTTCTCGCAGTATAATTTTCTAATTGATCAGTAACATGTTCATCATATTTTTTAGCCACATATTAACGACGAACTGCTTTATGTTTTTGTATTGACTGATAAAATGGAATAAAATAGCATATATTCTGGTACTTTGCCATAGGCACTAGTAGAAGAAAAAAAACACTTACCATTCTATTTGTCAGTTCTGTCATCGCTGTTAAACCTTCTGACTCTAAAACGTCACGTATTTTATCTTCATTGAGTCCGTTGATAAATCTTCTACATCACTCAGCGATAAAATCTCAATGAAAGAGACAACTCAACCATTTGAAAACAGTTTTAAGATAATTGTACATTTTTAGGACGTTCTCTTTATCGAACATCATATTGCTTCTTCATTAACTCGATATGAAATATATTTTTGACGTAAAATATGGTTTTACTGCAGAAGCTAGCAAATATTTCGTGATAACACTCAATTATAAATTCTCCACATTCTTCTCTAATTTTATTGAATGTCAATGGATATAAATTCTTAATAACTTAATTGGCGTATCTGAGATTAAGTAAAGTAACCGTATGATATATGGAGTTCTATATACTCAATAATTTTCTGACATGTATGGTAGTGTGTCTGAATAGCACATCCTACTGGTGTCATATAAGAATCGTCACAAAAGCTTAAAACGAAACTAATACTATACATTTGATCAAAGGCTTCAATATTGATAATATCTGACTAGAAACTTTTTGACGATTTGATTGTTCTATATCAGATTATCCATTAGTGGATGACTATTGTTCTTCAGTTTTCATATTCTTTTCACTAGTGATGATCGTCGTCGCTAGTATACTACTTACTATTTTTTGTTTGATAAATATTTTACTGCTTTTTAAAAGTGGACTATTCTAAGAATCATACTTTCATATACATTTTCTTTCTATTTAAGAAACTTCATTTTAAAAAATCTCATCAAGAAACTTCCGATTTTCAGGTTCATGAATACGTACTCTTTCTCCTCTTTCTCTCTCTTTCTCATGAAATCGACCAATTTCTTACCGTCACTCGAAGATAACGAGATAACTTCGTTGTTTGATCAAAATTTTAGACTTTTTTAATCGGGACGAAATAATAATATACGTTTTAGATAAGATATGGTTTATAAATAAAAGACAAAAAGAAACAAAAAAATATAATATATACAATAGAAGTAAACTGATGTTTAATGGTCAAACGGAGAAAACAAGTTTTACAAAAAACAACAACAATCCGTCCTCTTCTCCTTATGTGTTCTCTTTTACCGCTATTTACAATACTCCAAGGCACAAAAAAAAGAACTGAAAAAAACAAAAACCATAAACATAAATCGAGTACTTCGTTTATTGTGGAATAATGTTCTTTTTTTCCACAATATAATTTTAGCATAACACTGTTAACACGTTCAAATTTATCCCATTTACGTTCAACATAAAAAGAAAATACAGAGAAAGAAAGAAAAAGGTATGTAAAAACTCTCCAATGTCTAAAAAAGTGTCTGGAACTAATTGAGAGAAATTATTCTGCTCATTGTAGATCGAAATATGATTTCTTATACTCAACAATTTTCTGTCTTGCAGATATGATGTTTCTGTTTAAAAAGCACGCATATAAGTGAGATTTTGAAAAGGCGGTTGACAGAGTTCATTGAACAATTAGAAAAACGTAACAGCAAACTACAACAGAAAAAAAATAAACTTTTGTTTATTTTAGTGCAATGCTTCTAACAAAACAATAGCATAAAAATAGAGCTTTCCTTTGTTTACAAGAAAAAAGAAGTGTACCACCACCATAAAATGAAAAAGTAGAAGGAAAGATCTTAAGCTTAAGTACTTTTTTCTCAAACTCCATGATTTTTTTCTCACCGGGAATGCATAATCCTATAATCATCTTAGCCGGGACACGAACAAATAAAAACAACGAGATGTTAGAAAAAGAAATGAGGTATTGATCGTTACAGAGAGTACCAGACACTCTAAATAAGTACAAAAAGAACTGAAGAACGGCACGCAATAGAATACATGCAGAGTCAAAACAAACTAAAAACATATAGCAGGTGTGTTTTCAACAAACAATCTGTTTTATGTTGTTATATAAAATTGGGTTTTACGCATTTCAGAAGCAATGTGAGTTAATATAAAAGAGAAAAACTTATACATTATCATCCAGCGATGGGAGAAATAAAAAAATGTTTTCATATGAAAAAAGTTGAAAGAAAAATGACAATAACAACACCAACAACTAGTCGTTCAACTATATTGTCCATCACTGTTTCTACAAATATATGACAATGATATATACCTACTAATTCATTAGAGTTTCGGATCCATCCATTTTTGATGTTGCTGCTCTTTCATTTAAAGGTGGATCACCACTTTTCATCATCGACTGTTCCGATACTAAAAATTAAACAACCAAGAGCAAATAAGTCAAAGGTAAGGGACAGAAATATGTCTTACCATCATCACCAATAACACTTTTAGTAATACTACAACATAACTCATCAAGTGTGTTTTCATTATTCGTATTATTGCTGCTAGGTCCACTGTTTGCTGCTGAAATTACTGTTTGTGATAAGCCTCGTAACATTAGGGGCTGTTGCTGTTGCTGATGATAAATATTATCCCCATCCTCATTGTTCGGATTATCTAAAAAACGGAAACATTTTGTTATAGTTATGACTATTTGTGAAAGCTTAACATAAATACATACTAATAAAAAATGAATTGTTGTCCGATTGTCGTTTCATGGATAACATTTGTTGTTGATTGCTCTGTTGGTGTTCAGATGCAGGTGTTCGTTGTCTTGTCATAAATTGATTGGTATTACTGTATGAATTCAAATTTGTCGGTGATGATGTTAAAGTCATCATTTGTAAATTAAACTGCTGCTGTTGTTGTTGTTGTTGTTGTTGTTGTTGCTGCTGCTGCTGCTGCTGCATGAATGCTGACATATTATTAAAACGCAATTTATTTGGATCACTAAAGGTTTTACATAATTTACTGCGACCACATTCGTTATTTTCATTGTTATTTGAGTACAAAGGTCCAATGCTAGTCTTTCGTGTTAGCGGTTGATGTTGATTTTGTTGTAAATAATTTTGTGATGATGGATAATTGAAATAGGGTCGAACTTTTCTGCTACTGTTGTACTGTTCAGGTGAAGAAAATAAATCGTGGTTATTGTTTTCATTTGTTGTATAATATTGTTGTTGATGTAATGCCGGTGGAAGTGTCAGACATTTTTCTAATGGTTTTGGGGGTTTAACAATGGTATTTGGCGATAAGAGCAGAGAATCCTCAGAAATGTTTTGTGGTAACATAGGTTCCTCAAAGGTATTGTTATTATTATTGTAATAATTCGTTGGAGAGAAAAGAGACTGAGATGTTTGTTGTGAAGCGGCCAGCGCCGTGGGAGATGGACGACGAATTGTCAAATTATTTTGATCGGTATTCTGTTGTGATCCCAATGGTTCTGAATTCCATGAACGAGTTAATGAAACAGGTCCTCCGTTGCTATTGTTAATGTTGATATCATTTCCATAATACTCATTTGGATAAATATTAGAATAACACAATGTCAATGGACTTGCCAGAGGTAAATTATTTCTTACAGAACTTGAGGCTGCTGTACTTTGAGTACTTCGAAGTGGTGTATGAGGTTTATTAATTGGAACGGATGTTTGTTGTTTTAAACGACGTTGATGAATATAAGACGGCTGCATAAATTGAAACGATACTTTGCCCATATTTTGTAATATTTGACACAATGTACCACGCCACTGTAATAATAAAACACGTTGTTGCTCAGAAAATGCCTCGTGTTTGCAACAACAATCAAATAATCCGACCATAGTATTGCACATATCAGCTACATTATTCGCATTTTGAATTTTTGATGCCATCATGCTATTGATATTAGGAGTGAAATTATTAATCGGTGTAGACACTGAATTAGATGGATAAATCATATAATAGACTAGAAAAAAAACAAGAAAATAATATCTAGATGTAAAGACAGATACAATTGAGACATTCAAAAATCTGAACATAACGTTATAACAACTACTTTGCAACTCTGACTTTGTTTATTTCATAGTGTTAATACCTTTTTCGAGCACTTGTATTATTGCACTTGGTAAATCTTCCATTCCATCCTCGAGTTCGTCGTTATTATTTTTGCCACAATTATTGTTATTGTGATCTTTTTCTTGTGTTTCACCGTTCTCGTTTTCTTTGTTATTGTTTCTATTATTATTATTGCCACCATCAGTCAAATTATTCGCTGTTGAATTCAAACTACCACGTATTGGTGTGTGTAATATGTCGTCGAGTTGTTGTAAAACTACTTTTGGATCACATGCACCATTGTCGATATCAATCAACATTTGTCGTAAATAAATCTTACGTTCTTTTAGCTTTTTAACATGAAGTAAAATTTTTGAGCATGCTCCATCTGTTATTTGTTGATCTTTCAATTGTTTCAGTGTTAAATTCATCATATCATCGTAAGATAGTTGTGAGAAGAACAGAGCATATTTATGTAAACGAAGAAGTTTCAACCACTTTGGCACATCTAAGCACAAATAAAAAAAAAATAATCAAATAGTTGGAAAATATGAGCAGATCAGTCATACCTCTCATGCCTGTATTAGGCTGTATAAATGTATTTCGTGCCAAATTTGTTGCATCGACACCTAAATATTGTGATACCCGATCATCATACCGTGCACGATTTCTTAACGATCGAAATCGTTGAAGTCCGATTTTAGAATTTGTAACATTCTTTTTATTATTAATTTTATCCGATAAAAAATTTGTAAGGTGATTATTATTGTTAAATGAATGTGAATACGAATATTCACCGATGTTTGTATCAAATCCAATACTTTGACGATGATTGCCATCATTCAACGTATTTGACTGATATGTATTTAACACAGATGATGAATTTAATGATGCTGATTCATCTTCTTCTTCTTCTTCTTCATCACTAATTATTGTATGTCGTTGAATCTTATTCTCGCTAGCTGATGGGTCAGAATAATAGCAATGTGAAGCCGTTGCATGTGGTGCACTCATTGCCGGTTTCAATGGCACGTGTGGACGAATATTTGTTCGCGCTTCAATCTTCTCTACTAAGACATTTGTTGCCGTTGTTTCATCAGTAAAACGTGGTGACGGTGTTTTTCTTGGTTTTTGCTGTTCATTGACATTATTTGATGGTTCTGGAGTTGGTGAAGATGTTGTTTTCATTACGAATGGATGATTATAATTTTCATCTGTTGAATTTGCTGAACGAGATCTGCCAACAGTTGCATGAGCTAATATAGACAGTGCATCGGACTTTCCATTTAGACTGCTATTGTTGTTACTATTGTCTATAACAAGATTAATACTGTTTTGTGGTGTCGTTGGTATTTCAGTCAAATCGACACCACTATCTGTTAGAGATAATGGTGATCGTTGTGATTGAATAGGTCTGATAGATGGATAGCGGTGCAATGGCAGATGCCGCCGTTGCTCATTTGCAGGGGTTATTGACAAGTCGATGCTCGAATTATTTATTGAAGTCTAAAAAAAGAGTACTAGAAAGTCTGATAAATAATTTATACATCTGAGAATGTTGCATACCTCTTCGTTAAATGATTTACTATCATTAGTATCATCGTTTGTTTCTGAATAAGTCGTTAAAACTGTTCTGAAATCTTTGACGGAAGCAGGATGTTTTTGAAATAGTGGATGTATTTTGATAAAAAATAATAATTGTCGGCAGATGGAAACAAGATTTTCATTTATAAGTAGTTGATTGTTATTATTTTTTGATGATAATGATGAATTTGGTGACCATGCATTTGAAGAAATCAATTCTTTCTTAGATAGTGAGTCATTAACATGATCAAACACTTGTTGATAGGCATTAACTAATTCATCATTATCGTTATTAAAATTCAATAATGGTAAATAAAGTTGAAGTGATACGAGTATTTTATCGAGTGGTTCATCTAATAATACACGTAAAATAGCTAAAATAAAAACATATAATTAATTGATACGTAACAGATTTTTTTCATAGTATCGTTGTTTGATTGATACATACGTGCTGAATTGGCCTGATGTACAGTCACTGTAAACATAGCTGTTGTTGCTTGTTTAACTACACTGGATACAAATTGATGTAAAAAATATTTGTGTGATAAATCTTTTAACGAATTTGTTAATTCTATAATAAAATATAACTGTTCATATTGTGTCCAGTTGTTAAATTGTTGTTGTATATTTGATAAATGATCACGAAAATCGTGTGATAATAGCATGGCTGGCTAATGGCTTTTCTTATTCGTTTACAAAAATTGAACTAAATTATATACTGGGCAAATATTTTCTATCTATAAATAAAAGTATATTTACACTAAAAGGAGAAAAAAAAAATAGCGTACAAAAATAACACATAGTCAATATTTACAAATAAGATCTTCCTGACATTATCGCAAAAGTAAAAACATCTGGTCGTCATAAAAAATAAAAATACTGAACACTTTAGAGATAAATATTATTTCAATTTTTAGTTCTAATCAAACGATTTCTTTTAAATTGAACCATCTAATAAGAGAAAAGATTTGAACAAGATAAGAAGCAAAAAAACTAATAAGAAAATAAAATAGAGATCATGTGAACTAGAATTCTTACAAATTTGTTTGATAAAAATATGATAAATTTTTTTAAATCTAACTACTACCTAATTAATATAAAAATTTTCTTTAAATGAAGGAAAAAATGTTAAGTATATAGTGTACACAAATGTTAACTTTTTTAAAACTTAAAACTTACATACACAAGTAATATTTTAATTATTGAACCAATTATTTTACTGTTCTTATTAATATAATAACTTCTTTATCATGAATAGAAAGGTAACAGCGCACCTCGTCAAACATGTTTTTCCTTCTCTTGTTTTTTCTTTATTTCGTCGTATAGGATTTTTTTTTCAATGTCATGTTTTTTCTCATTTTTTTTTTATACTCTAAATGTCGGTATAAATTGTTTATTTCTTAATTCATCCTTTTCTGTTCTGTTTCTTTCTTTTTTATTTTTTTGCGCCACACTCATTTTGAATATTGTGAGCATACATACGTCATCGAAATTCCACCTTTTCGATTTCTTCTTTTTTTTTTTTATACGCATAATCAAGGCGTTTACACGGTTTTTTACTTCCTGTCTTCTTACTCTCTATTTTATAATTTTTTTTTTATGTCATCAATAACTTGCCACCTCGTTAATACATAAAAAAATAAAAAAACGGACTATAACGTCGTTTCTTTTTTTTTTTTTATTACTAGACGATACCTGAATTTTGTGCATGACGTTGTATTTTAATCGCATACTTTAAAGTGAGATCGAGCGTAAACATAAGACAACTCATTAATAATTATATTTTTCAGTAACCATCAAAATCAAGTATTAGTTAGATGATATCCAATTAAGAAAATAACTTGCACAAGTCAATACTATATGTCGTTTAAACGAAAACATAGCTATATACAGAGTATATTATGTTCGTTTGTCATAACTTTTTATTTTTTATCAATTAATCAAAGTTTAAAAAATAAAAACAAAATTAGATTTAGACATCCCGTAGAAAATTTTCATCGAACTATTGACTAATACAATTAGGCATACATTTTCTTTTATACATAGCCTTTTTCTTTATTCAAAGAAACTTAGACAAAGAATCAGTTTATCTCATAGTGGATCGTTAGTACAAACAATTTTTTTCATCACATGATTGGAATAAGTGAAATAAAAAAATAATTCAGTACAGTATAACGCTGACAATCATTTAAACACTTATCAAAAGGATTCTAGTGTTTAGACTGTAACTAGATGCTTCAGTTAACAACAACAATAATTATCAGAAAGAAAATGGTATACTATTAGCTTGAAAAGATAAGTGATTTAATAGATTTAAAGCGAGAGAAGAACCAATTTAAACCAAATATATTATTCTGTTGCTTCAATCTTAAATCCATCTGTTTCAATCAGTATTACTAAAGATAAACTATATCAATGTAAATAAACTGCTACTGACACTGTGAAATATGAAGATATACTTAGAAATCTGAGTTTACCCTTTACTGTTTTAACATAACTTTTCTAAATCTCAATAACATTTTAAATTGTGAGTATTATATACATCAGTACTTTCTTTTTTAAAGAAACAACTAGACAGTACTATACAAAAGTGTACGCATGTATATTGCTGCAAAATTTCATTAGAACTTAACATCCCGAGAAACGAGTATATGTAAATTTCTTCTGTTCGATAGCGTGTAGTATAACTATTACGATTCATTTAGAATTAAATGAATAACAAGAAGATTAAACTAGATAAGATAAATTTTCAAGGGAGTCTCTCTTTTTTTTCAAGGCTGTATTGATGAACGAATCGAGAATGAATGATTGAATAAGTCAACTACTATTTGATTCGTCAATCGTTACCATTTGACAATATTAAGATCCTCTACGCTACAGAAAAACAACATGAACAAAATTCTACGCATTATCTCGAATTTTATCCTAATACAGATGAACAGTTTGTATGAATTATCAAGACAACGCTGTCTTAATAGGTTTTGAACACCATCTATATCCTAGCGTTTGAACTTTGCAGCGTAAAAAATAACCGGCGGCTTCCGATAGAAACAAAGATCTATGATTTATTACAAAACTTTTGGAGTTCAGTGTTAATATCGTATTATGAGACAGGCCATCTAGCAACCTTTTCTATACTATTAACAAGTTTATAATCAGCTCAAGCAAAACGAAATAATATAAAGAAATAGTCAATATATTCTTAAAGATCGATAATACTCACAATTTTTCGTATCCGACTGCAGTATGATTTATACAAATTGAAAGTGGTCTTGAGATGTATAAAGTATCTGAATACGTTTTTGATATATTATCCTCCTTTTTATTCTTTTTGCTCTCTTTACCGATTTATTATCTAAAGAGTGTCCAGGTGCAATCATCGATTTTTTCATCAATAAGTGATGAAGTATGAGTTAAAAGAATACCTGACTAGGCTCATTATTTAACATACGTTTTAATCAAAACATCTATCTGCGCAAAATATTGTGATAAATATTAGTCAGAATACAAGTTTTTTAAATATTTCTACCCCGGAAGTAAATTCAAATATATCTGTTCAAAGTCAAGAGAAAAATAAATATCATAAATACTCGGTTCATACCTTGCAGTTGTCTTTGATCTATTTCCGCTAAACCGTTGTTAAATTTCGCAAAAATTAATTTTTCAATAATCTATGTACGCCTATTAGCAGAAAAACAAACTGACGTTACAAACAACGCAAACTAAAACAAGAACAATAATAAATTAAATATAAGAAAAAAATAATTTTAGACATAAGAATACCTCAATTCTTTCATTTCTACTTATATATATAAAATGGATGTTTTTCACTTTCATCGTATTCTCATTTTGCTAATTCACTTTTGTTGTCAATGAGATTTGCTCTTTTTGCATGTAAAACAGAGATTTGAACAGAGAAATTGAATGAAAAACTTCCTAAAATACGATATTATCAGTAAATGTACTTTTTCACACTTCTGGATCATACAAAAAATAAGTCATTACCAAGAACAAATTTCATTGGAAGCTCTGAACTCCTTCAGTATGCTTGGATCAGCCATATATCGGCATTCATTCTATGAACTACGTCAGCAGAACATTAATTGAGCTTCAGATATGCATAATTATAGTTTTTCTGATGAATTTATCAACAGACTTACAATTAGTCTTGTACGTTATTAGAGATAAAATTCAATTTTCATTTTGTTACGTGTGAGTGAATACGCGGGCATTTGAAGTGTAAAATAACCGTCTTAGAGAGAAATCAGTTCAGATTGCAATTTTTTTTATCATGCATTTTGTAATTAAGTATTGATTTTATACTCTGTTGTTTCTAGTTTTATAATTCGTTTCTAAATTCTATTATAAACTAAAATACAATCACGTTTAGGCAAAATTATACACGTGCAAGAGAAAATCATCATACTAGACAGAGAAACAAACATACACATACCATAGAGGTTACAGTAAAGCATGAAGACACGTTATTGACAGCCATACAGTGTAGCTGTGTGTGACTGTCTGTAGGTGACTGTCTTCATGCTGTACTACTACCTATAACACAGACATTCTAAATAGAACATCATTTGTATGTCCATATACTTCAAACAGACGCCTATAACCATTTATCAAACCAGAAAGCAATCATCATCTGAACGAATGCAACTAAAGTTTAGAGTTATCAAAAAATAATACAACGACTTTCCTATCGATGTTGAAGACGTGTCGCGCTGCAACCATGAGCGTCACACATCAGATTATTTTCGTTTATCCATGTTGATAAAACGAATGTTACTTTTAGACATTTTGAAGTGAATACAATCTTAAATTTATGAATATAAAAACCAAAGTCTCAACTTCAAGAAACATAAAAAATAAAAAATTTTCGTGATTGAGTTTTGAGTGAGAAAAAATTTAGATAGCAAATGTCAGCAAAAAAGCTCTTGTAACGTATGTTTTTCTTTATTTTTTCAGTACAGTCTGAAGAAAAAAGCTTTGTTGATAGTCAAATAGATGAGAATGTAGCTAGTACAAAACTTGTAGGAATTCGTTAATAGTAAAAAAACGTATATAAAACTCAATGTTGTTAGGAAACACTACTTATTGTATCAAAAAAATAAAACATCGAGAAAATCTGTTTATTTAGGGCTCAGACGATGGTCGTAAAAATTAAATCAGATATGAGTTTGTAGAATTTAATGCTCTTTCAGAAAATATATTTTAGCAAAAGGACAAAGTTTGATTAGTATCTAAAGATCATTAAGTCTAATTAACTATGTTTCTGAAATTAATGAAAATTTTTGACAATCTCTGATTCAGATAGATTGAAAGATAATTGATCATACCCCACTTGATAGAGCGATAAGAATACTTCTGGTTTTTATAAAACCATAATTTCAAACGTATTTTATTATAGAGAAAAAAATACGTTTGATGAGAGAGATACGTTTATAGAGGACGGAAGCCACAAGAGCTTTTTTGGTGACGTTTGATATCTAAGTTTTTTTCCCACTCAATCACAAAAAAATTTATTTTCAATATTTTCTGAAGTTTAGACTTTGGTCTTTCTAACGGAAAAATAATTAACAACAATTGTGTTCTGTTCTGTGAATTCTTTTCCTACAGACAGAACGTTTGAACAGAGATTTCTGGGACAGTTCAGTTC